AAGCTGCTACACTCCCACATGCTCTCCCACCCTGTCCCCCCACACCCACCAGACCACGTACCTCTGGACCCCGAGGCGTATGTCTCGGACGTGATGGCAGAGTATGTGAAAGCAGCACGTGGCAGCCTAGTGGCCTGCAAGTTGCTGCTGAAGAAGCGATTCTTCAAGACGGACGATGCTCTCGTTGCCGACCTGCAGCACGTGCGCCTCTGCTATGCGCAGGTGGGTTGTGCTTTGGGATGCTTTTTAACCTGGGACATGGCATCAGTTGCATTCTGGCTGCATGTGGTGGTACATAGGGTTGGCTCACTGGTTGCATGCGAGTGAGTGTAGGGTGCGGTGAAGGGTGAGTGGAGTGGGAGGTGGCACGCGGCAGCCTGGTGGCCTGCAAGTTGCTGCTGAAGAAGCGATTCTTCAAGACAGACGATGCTCTCGTTGCTGACCTGCAGCACGTGCGCCTCTGCTATGCGCAGGTGGGCGGTGGGGTTGGGGGTCCTTAGCTTCAAAATGGCATCAGTTGCACTCTAGGCCGCACTGGGTGGTGAGCCGGGGCGGTGGCTGGGGCTGGTGAGTGGGGTTGGTGCTTGCTGCTGTGGTGGGGTGGGGCAGCCTGGTGGCCTGCAAGTTGCTGCTGAAGAAGCGATTCTTCAAGACAGAATATGCACTCGTTGCTGACCTGCAGCACGTGCGCCTCTGCTACGCTCAGGTGGGCGGTGGGGTTGGGGTCCTGAGCTATGCACAGGTGGGTGATAGAATCAAACATGTGACCGTGCTACGTGCAGGCATGCATTTCAGCTGCCATGGCACGCACACGGGGAGCAAAGCTCCATCACCCACGCACCCCATATCGTCCATGTGTCCCTTCGTTCTGTGCTGGTCCCATCATCATACAAGTTTGAGGTTTGGAAGCTTTGAGATTTTCTTGAATTTTTAGGAACAATCCTTTACAAGTCTTTATCCTTTTGCTTAGCGTTTTCTCATAAGTTCGCTGCTACTCCCATCATGAACCTGGATCCTTCGTTCTGTGCTGGTCCCATCATCATACATGAACCTTAATCTCCCTCCTCCTCCTATGCTTTCCAACTCCCCATTTCTAACAGCTCCAGTACGATTATCTCACGAACCACTATCTGGTGACAGTGGAGGGAGCAGTGGTGCTGGCAGCTCTCAGTGGTGCTGCCTACCTGTCTTCCCACCACCCGCCCCCATCCCCCCCACCCCTCCCGCCCGTCCCACCTGTCCCTAACAGCTCCGGTACGACTATCTCACGAACCACTACCTGGTGACAGTGGAGGGAGCAGTGGTGCTGGCAGTGGCAGCTCTGAATGGTGCTGCCTGCCTGCCTCCTCACCACCCCAACCCCATCACCCCTTCCATCCTCACGTCCCTAACAGCTCCGGTACGACTATCTCACGAACCACTATCTGGTGACAGTGGAGGGAGCAGTGGTGCTGGCAGCGCTGCAAATAGCCGGGGAGATTGGGGTCATTGCCAACCCTGAAACGGCCCTGTAAGCTTTTGCCAACCCAAACCCATAAGACCAACTCGTACTCGTACTCCCATGTGCCTTGTATGGACAATCCAAGTAGTATCTGTTATTATTGCGTGCAGCAGTATCTGGTATTACCACTGTTCATCTTCGTCCTCGTAGGCCTTCCATTTCTGTGTGCCTTTCTCCCAGTGTTTTCTCCGCACAAGCCTTCATTTCTTGTATGTGCGTGTGATCCTCCTCCTCGCATGTCCTTCAACTTCCTCCTGGTCGCTGTGTGCACGGCAGAACCCTACAGAACCCTCCTATATTCTGCTCAATGTGCGCCTTTGTTCCTTTGCATGCGAGCCCATATACGGCAGGGAGTGGAGCATACGGATGAAGAGGTCTATCCCAAAGATAGTGTCTCGCCTGCACTCCAAGGACGAGTGGATGAACCTCATCCTCGAACCCTACAGAACCCTGGTAAGATACAGAGTATGCATGAAGGGTAGAGATACATCAGATACAGAGGAAAAGAGGCAGAGTATGCATGAAGACATCCTCGCAGTGTCCCTTTCCTCTTTCCAACATTGATGTCTTCTTGCATACTCTGCCTCTTTTCTAACTTCAGATGCATGTTCGCTTTACATCACATACAGAATTCTTTTGAGTCAACTGAGTCAACTCAAGAGGCACCCTGTTGTTCCCAAATGCACCTGCTTCCCATGCCTGTGCAGTGGTCCCTGGACCACGAGGCCACGAGGCGGGACTTCATCCGAATCCTTCTGGAGATCACTCAAGGCGGCTCAAAGTATACTCAAATATTGTCCCCTCATGCACCTGCTTCCCATGCCTGTGCAGTGGTCATTAGACCACGAGGCCACGATGAGGGAGTTCGTCCGAATCCTGCTGGAGATCCCTCAGGGCGGGTCCGTCTTCTTTGACCTGCGCACAGAGGAAGACACGGCCAACTACTTTCCCAAGCATGTCATTGTTGGAGTCAACCACAACGGGGTGAGCTCAGTTGCCTTTGAGGATACCAACAAAATCCCGCAAGGGAGGCCCAGTCTTCTTTGGCCTTTGTACCGAGGAGGACATAGCCAGTTACTTTCCCAGGCAGGTCATTTTCTGGGTCAACCACAACGGGGTGAGCTGTCTTCCATGTCACCATGGAGCTGCGTTGCTCTCTCATGTTGTTGCAAACTTTCCTTCATGTGTACATGTTGAGATGGCCATCGATTGAAGTGTATGCTTTCAACTCCTCGTACTGACAAATTTCCTCTCTGCATCTGACACCTCCATTTGTGTTTTCCCTGCGCTTGATTGGACTGGCTGGCAGCTTCATTTCCTGGATGCAGAGATTCGGTCGGTCATCCACCAAGCAGAGCTGAGGGAGCTTGCAGAGTATGCAGGGCAGCCCGGAAGAATATTCTTCAGCATGACGCTACAAGATGAGCTACACTCGTTTGAGTTTGCTACGACCGGGGTGAGTAAATGCCGTCTCATGGTTTATGCCGTGTGTAGTTTCGTTATGTCGTGCAAACTTGCTTTGCTAATGTATTGATGCACTTGTTTTGCAGGGCAACGAGATATGCTTCTTGCTTGATATTCACATAGCCAATGCATTGAGAGCATCTCAAGCTGTTGAATGATGGACTCAATGGACATACCTATACATATTGCAATATAGGTTGACAGTATTGTGTTCAAATTATATGGAGCATCGAAAGCGTGCAGACATAATCCATACAAGCACCCAAGCCAGATGCACTTATGCTCAAACCATATTGGAATGTTGTTGGCCTAGCCTGTGAACAGAAGTTCAGGTGATCCTAAGAGGGTGCCCATGTACACCTTAAAGCTGTCACTGCTTGGAGTGCAATAACGGATCGCTGAACGAGCATTTCGGCCCTACACACGGAGTCTACAGTGGTGCAATTTCGCCGCGTGAAAAGTACGAACAGTTTCAGGTAGGTACAACAAGACAAATCACTTCCTCAACTCTTGCATCGTTGTCTCAAATCATATCCGTTATTAGTGATGCTTCGCTATTGTACCGACATGCTTCGATGTGTACTATTGGCTGTTTCGCCTCCATTGGGCCACTAACCCTAAGGGCCAACTCCCCTATTGTCACGATGACGACTGGCAACATGGTCTCGGTCTTCCTTCCGTCGCAACTGGCATTTCGTGAACGGCTCGCAGAGCTCAACCAGTGCAAGAAAGGACATTCACGACCGTCGCGAGAAAACATTTGTGTCGCGGAAGTGTGGAATGGACACTTTCGTCTAGTCCTTGGAAATAGTTGAGAGGAGAGAGCAGCACTGGGATTGTTTTTCTCGAAATTACCGTACTGACCGAGCACTCTGAACATACAAACCACCTACCATCGCAGGCAGTCACTCCCACAGAGTGACCACTTGAAGAATTCCGTCCTAAAAGCAAACACATCATAGACCGAGAAGCTTTTAGGGTTGTCTATGATACGGCATAGCTCGGGGCTGGATTCTGTATAGTAGTCGCGAGAAGCATTACATTTTCCCAGGCAAAAGACCGGGGCCGACGAGTTTGCTTCAGGGGACCTTCATTTGCTTCCAGACTATTTATTGTAAAATTATCGCAACTATTTATTATCTTCTGGAGTAGGATAACCGCCATCTCCCACATTGTTGCTACCGCTGCTTCAATGTTGTGAGCTCATGACTAGCCTTCACGTAGCTTCGGCCGCTTCGTTGAGGCGAGCGACAATGGCAACGAGACGGTTATCTTGCTTACTAGCCATCCTAATCTTCACCAGCATCTCCAGAAGTGCGTATTCTCGCTCACGCTCTCGTTGTATAAGTGACACTTCCTAGAGCGATTGTTTACGATGTTACCCCACCCCATGCTTGCAATGCTTCCTAACGCCATGCGTACGATGGTACACGAAACGAAAATGCTCTGACGTACTTTTAGAAGATAATGCCATCGTGCCTCCTGAAGGAATCTTAGCTCTGTTCGCTCCACAACCGCACTAGTTCCCTGTCGTGACGTCTCGTACCGCAGTTCGCTTTGAGTTGACTTGGGAGCTAAGGTTGCTCCAAACGCGTGCTCCGAAGTCAACTTCTGAGTTGACTCAAAAGGAACCTTCGCTCTGTTCGTCTTCTAGTTCACTCTTGTTACGGCTCGTACTGCACGTCATTCGCGAAAAGCTTGCTTTTGAGTCGACTCAAAACAAGGTGACTCTCGGCTCGGCTAAATGAGAACCTCGGCTCTATCCGCTCCGCTGCCTCGCTAGTCTACTCGCAGTCACGGCTCGCTCAGCTAGTCATTCCCGCTAAGTAGTTGCTCTTGACTCGACTCAAAACGAGGTGACTTCTAAGTCGACTTAAAGGGAACCTTAGCTTTGTTCGCATCCCTAGCACGAGTTTGTTCGCTCCGCTACCGCACCAGCTTCCTCCTCTCGTTAAGGCTCGTTCTGCAAATCATTCCGCGAAGCAGTTGCTCTCGAAGCCCTACTGTTGCTGTTTCGTGCTGTTGAATTCCCTAGGTTCGGTGTGCTGGAAACTGTCAGTTAGGTGACGTGCGGATACACTGAAAAAAGGTTTACGTGGATACACGGAGAAAAGCTGAGCAAATTCTCTGTCTCCTGTTAACTCCTTTGCCTCCTCTCGTGCTTGAGACTCACGGACGGCCGTCTTGTTGCCTGCTGGGTCGCCAAAGTAGCGGCTGACGGTTGACTTAACCTTCGTTCCGGCGTTCACCAGCCGCCATTCTTCAACACATTCGAGACCATCCCCTCCTCCCCCATCCCTTTTCCCCCCCTCCCTCTCCCTCTCCATTCTTCTCCCTCCCTCCCTCTCCCTCTCTCGCTTTCTCTGTTGCCAGCAGCGTCGTCGCAGCAGATCCCGCCGTCGTGCACCTCTCTCGCCAAGCTCTATGTCGCCAGCACGGGCAGCGACACCGGCTGCTGCGACTCCACCACCGCTCCCTGTGGTACGCTCCGCTGTCTTCGCTGCTCGTCCGTGCCCTTGTGCTATCCGTATCTTGTCGGCTTTGTCTTCGTGCCTACCGCTCCTGTTTCCTGCTCCGTCCACCGAAACATTGGCTTTCCTCCCCCCATTCCCTCTCAATCTCTCCGCCTCACTCCCTACCTCATCCCTCACTTTCCCCTTGTTCCCTGCTTTCATGTCCCCCCCCCCCCACTTCCCCCCTCGTCCCCCCTGCTCCCCCCGCTCCTTCCCGCTCCCCCTGTTCCCCCCGTTCCCCCCGCAGCCACCTTGCAAGCAGCGGTCGCCAGGGCGGCACCTTCCGCCACCATCACCCTCCTCCCACTCCCCGCCGGCTCTCCCCTATCCGCAATCAAATCTTCGCCGACCAAATCCGCTGTTCAACTGGGCGGCAAATCTCTCATCATCACCGGCGCCCCTCCCGCATCCACCCCCACGTCCGCCGCAGCAATCACACTCGATTGCGGCGGCGGCCCGTGCCTGAACGCCACGTGTGCTGGCGCGGGGTGCGGCGCGGGAAGCAAGGTGGTGCTGACGCTGGCGCTGTTCACGCTGACCAATGGCGTGTCGGCCGATTCGGGAGGATGCGTGGATGTGCGAGGGCAGGGCCTCGTTGTCAAGTGAGTGCTCTCTCAAGGGAGTAGGTATTCCCACTGCCGTGTGGTGCTGGCAACGGTAAGTCCCATATTCAGCTAGAAGATTGGTGGGAGGATACGTGGATGTACGAGGGCGTTTTGGCGTCTCTCACCCTCGCCTCCGCCTCCTTCTACGCCTTCTCCCCCCCTTCTCCCCCCTTCCCCGCACCCGCAGCAACGTGGCGTTCTCCCGCTGCTCCGCTACCAACCTGGGCGGCGCAGTGTCAGTGCAGGGCGCGGGGGCGTCGCTCACAGTCTCCTCTGCCTCCTTCTCCGCGTGCTCCGCGCCCGGTTCAGACCTCACCTACATGTACAACTCGGGGGGCGGCGCCATCAGCGTCACTGGGCCCGACGGGGGGGCGGCTGCACCTGGGGGTGTGCGGGCGAAGCTGTCCGGGGTGACGGCGAATGGGTGCAGTTCGGAGAACGGGGCGGGAGGGGCGCTGCTGTTTAGGAATGTGAAGGTGGAGGTGGATGGAGGGGAACTGACCGGGTGCCAGGCGTATTTTGGTGGGACGATTGCGAGCATGTACTCGAGCGTGTCGATCGATGGGGTGACTGTCAGCAATGGACTGGTGAGTGAGACGCGGATTTTCTGGCGTGGCAGTGATTGCTTGGTGGTGGTGGGATGGGATTGTTGAGTGGGGTTGGGGAGGGGGTTGGGGCGATTGCGAACATGTACTCGAGCGCGTCGATCGATGGGGTGACAGACAGTCAGCAGCGGACTGGTGAGTCAGTGGGGTGCTTGCTTCTGGTGTGTGGTGGTGGGGCTTGTCAATAAGGGTGGGTGGTGAGGCTTGCGTTGGGGCCATGTATTCGAGTGTAGTGGTCGATGGGGTGACAGTCAGCAATGGCCTGGTGAGTGAGTGGGATGCGTGTTTCTGGTGAGAGCGTGAGAGGAGAATTCCCTGCCAGTACCTCTCACCTTCTCTCACCTCTCCTATACCCTCTTCATCTCTCTCCGTCTCTCTCGCTCCCCCTCACCTCCCACCAGGCTGTGATTGGCGGGGCTATTGCGGACGAGGGTTCCTCCTCCTACGCCCTCTCCTCCTCCTCGCTCACCTCCTGCTCCTCCAATGGCACGCTGCCAGCTGGCGTGTACGCGGCAGGCTACGGCTTTGGGGGGTGTATGGCGCTGAACGCCACGCAGACGGTTACAGTCACATCCGTTAATGCCACCAAGTGTGTCACGGATTACGAGGGAGGAGGCGCGTGGGTGTACACAGTCACTCAGGTATGCACCTGTGCGCTTGCTTAAGCATCACGAGAGGACATTCGTTAGTGCCATGCCACCAAGAGTGTCACGGATATGAGTCAGGAGGCGCATGGGTGTTCACAGTCCCTCAGGTATGTGTGGCTGACTTCTGTTCTGAGTGGCTGTTATGAGGACGAGGCTTGTGGCTGAATTGTTATGACGACGAGAAAAGGAGGAAGACGCTTGGGGCGTGGAGTTTATGAGAGTGTCCCGGCACGGAGTCATGATGGCGATTTTGTGGAGCAATTCGGTGCTAGGGAATTCGGTGCTAGGTAATTCGGTGCTAGGTAATTCGGTGCTAGGTAATTCGGAAGACCGGCCTGTGATGGTGATGAGGCGGATGAGTCATAATCACCGAATTCCCTAGCACCGAATTCCCTAGCACCGAATTCCCTAGCACCGAATTCCCTAGCATCGAATTCCCTAGCACCGAATTGCTCCACGGAATCGCCATCATGCCTCCGTGCCCGGACACTCTCATGATCTCCACGCCCCAAGCCTCGTCCTCCTTTTCTCGTCCTCATAATCTGACTAGCAATCAAGCTTTCTCGGGACTTCTTGAACAATGCAGGCGTGTCCAACCAACTGAATCCTCTCCTGTTTCTGTCTGCTCTCTCCTTTTCACCCCTTCATCTCCCGCCCCCCCATTCCTTTCGTCCGTTTTCTCGTATCCAGGCAACCCTCACCAAGTGCACCTTCTCTGACAGCTACGCGACATACCTAGGAGGCGGGCTGTCCGCCACGGGCGGCGTGCTCCTGATCTCCGACTCCACCTTCGCCCGCAACGTCATGGACTACGTTTCTAGCGCGCCCTCAGGCGCCGGCCTATCGCTGAGCGCCACGTCAGCGAAAGTGGAGCGCACCGTGTTCGAGGATAACGTGGGGATTATGATGGGGGATGCAACGACTGTGGATGGGTATGGTGGCGGAGTGTACGTGGGGCAGGATGGCGAGTCGGCGGTAACCACCCAGGAGTTCATCTCCTGCACCTTCTCTCGTAACCTGGTGCGTCCTTTTTGTTCCCTTCTGTAAGCTGGGCTAGACTAAGGAAACGCCATTTGCTGACGGGTATAAGGGGGAGAAAGGTGGGCAAGGTGTATATGTCAGGTTATGAGCAGGATGGCGACGCGGTGGTAGTAACAACACAGGGGTTCATCTCCTATACCTTCTCCTTGGTAACCGGATGGGCCCCTTCCCTTGTATTCGTTTACTTGCGTTTCCTCTGCTTTGCACCACCTTACGTCGTCCCTTTGATTTCCCCCTCCCTCTTGTCCCCTGCAGGCAAAAGGAGGCGGAAGCGGACTCACCACCTTCATCACCCCACCTCCTTTAACCGCCTCACATGCCGCCACACCTCTCCACACCTCTCTCTTGTTCCCCTGCAGGCGAAGGGAGGCGGGGGTTTCTACCAGTACGGAGGCGTCGCCAAATTCACCAACACGGTGTTCCGAGGCAATGGGGGAGGCGAGCTGGGAGGAGCAAGTGAGTGGGAGGGATGGGGAGGGGAGGGGGCGATGGGGTGGTGAGGGCTGTGTGGGTCGTGGGGGTGGTGGGGGTGAGTGGGAGGGGGAATGGTGGGGCCTCATGAAACGGTTGATTCGCCAATTTCACCAACACAGTGTTCCGATACAACAGGGGGGCCGAGCTGGGGGGCGCAAGTGAGTGGGAGGGGCGGGGAGGGGAAGGGAGCGACGGGTTGGTGTGGGGGAGTGGGTTGTGGGGGAGTAGGGGATCAGGGGGAATGGGTGGGGGCTCATGAAAGGGTCAATTCGCCAAGTTCACCATCACTATGTTCCCTAGAATTCTTCCTTTCCCCACTCCTTTCCTTCCCCCATTCCTCTCCCCTACCCCCCCTAACCCCTTCCCTTTCCTCCCTCCCTGTTGTACCCCCACCTCCCCTATCCACCACCACCACCACCAGTGCTGGCGCTGGTGACAGCGGAGGTGCAGAGCTGCACGTTTGAGCGCAACAGTGTGTCGGGGTCGGGAGGAGCCATCTACAGCGAGGGCACGGGGTACCTGCGGATTGTGGGGTCCACTTTCACTGCCAACTCCGTTCAGCTCAAGGATGGCGGCGCTCTTTACATCATTGCGGTGAGTGAAGCGTTGCTGGGGTAGAAGGGGACGAAAGGGTGGGGAACGGTTGGGAGGGATGTTCAGGAAACAGATGCAACAGCTCAGCTCACGCCTTGTGTTTTCTCTTTTCCCATCTTTCCCTTTCCTCCTCGCCTCAACCACAGGCGGGCAGTGCATGGCAGCACGTTCACAGGCAGCAGAGTTTACAGCTCAGCTCATCTCTTGTGTTTGCTCTCCCTCCTTCCGTCCCCTCTTCTCCTTTCTCTCTCCCTTCACCTGCCTTACTCACCCACAGGCGGACAGCAACGTGACAGTGCAGGGCAGCACGTTCAGAGGCAACAGGGCCAACAGCTCAGCTCAGGCCTTGTCGTTGCTCTCCCTCCCTCCCTTCTCCCTGCTTTCCCTGTCCCTTCTCGCCTCACCTACAGGCGGACAGCAACGTGACAGTGCAGGGCAGCACGTTCAGAGGCAACAGTGACAGCAGCTCAGCTCAACAACCTCGTCTCCTTTCCCTCTCCAATGCACTCGTCTCCCCTCAACCCCCCCCCCGCGCCTCCATGCACAGGCGGACAGCAACGTGACAGTGCAGGGCAGCACGTTCAGAGGCAACAGGGCCAACAGCTCGCGAGGGGCCGCCATCTTCAGTGGGGGGTCGCTGCTGCAAGTAGACGACTCTCTCTTTGAGGATAACTGGTCGTACCTCAAGGGCGGTGCTGTCACAGGTGAGGGGGGTGTGACGAAGAAGGGTGTTTCATGTGAGTTTTGTCTTACAACAAGTAAAGGGTTAGGCATGCTACTGTGTCACATGCCATCTTCAGTCACTGTTGGAAGTGAAAGGCCATTCCTCACCCTGACTTTTCAAACCCCACCTTCTTCCTTCTCCCCCCCCTTCCTCACACATTCCCCCATCTCTCCTCCTCTCACTCTTTCTGTCTTCAGTTGAGGGCTCTCGAGGCACAGAAGCAACTACCCTGGGGCGATTCTCAAATACCACCTTCACCAGAAACACCTCCCCGGTGGGGGGAGGCGCCTTCCTGTGCAGCCTCAACTGCACTGCAGAACTCACCAACTGCACCTTCTCCGAAAACAACAGCACTGCTGCCGGGGCCCTACTCGCCCAGGAAACCTCCTCCCTCACCCTCCGAGCTTCCTCCTGCCAGGGGAATGCCGCAGACGCTGCCGGCGGGTGCCTATTGGTCACGGATTTCGCGACTATTACCGCGGATGGGAGCAAGTTTAGGGAGAATAGGGCTGGGAGTGGAGGTGGAGTGGGGAAAGTGTCCGGGTCTGGGAGGCTGGTGATGACCCGGTGTGAGGTAGAGGCCAATGAGAGCCCGACAGGTGGCGCGCTCTGGGTGGAGATGGAGGGTGTGGTGGAGGATGCCCGGAGCAGCTTCACGGGTAACAAGGCGAGTTTCGAAGGAGGGGCGGTTTTCGCCACGCACAGCGCCACTGTGAAGCTGCTCTCGTCGCAATTCGGGTCGAATTCAGCGCTGAGAGGAGGAGCCATGGTTTTGGATACAGATGCGACGCTCACCTCCACCTCCTCCTCGTTCCTCAACAACTTCGCTTCGGCTGTTCTTATGAGGGGGAGTTCTCAGGCTACTCTCACTACAGCACTTTTCTCGGGCAATTCTGCCCCCGCGGGCACTGGAGGGGGCATCTGGGCAGCCGCCGAAACTTCTCTCACCGTTCGATCGAGCAATCTGACGAACAATACGGCTATCACGGGCGGCGGAATCTTTTCGGAAGGGTCTGCGCAAGTGACCCTGGATGCGTCCCGATTCGAGGGGAACAACGCGGTTACCGGCGCTGCGCTTGCTGCTGCGGGCAGCTCAAAAATTTCGGCAGGGAACCTGACGCTCGTGGGGAACAGCGCAAGCCGTGCGGGGGGTGCGGCGGCGTTTTTGGACCAATCAAACGGGTTATTTAAGGGGGCGTGGATGACTGGGAACAAAGCGGTGGTGGGCGGTGCAGGGGTGTACGTGAAGCGAGCAGAGACTCTCGGGATTACCTCCTCTGGAGCTGCAGCTGCTGGAAATTCTACTGGTGCTCCGGCTACTGGATCAGCGTCAGCTGCTGCCGCTGCGGTGAATGATGCGGGTAGTGCAGCTAGTGCCGCAAGTGGCGCAAACAGCAGCAGCAGCAGCAGCAGCAGCATGGGAGTGGGGAAGGCTGAGCTGGCTCCGCTGGTGTGTTTAAACCTGACATTCAGTGAAAACGAGGCCCTGTACCCGCAAGGAGTGGCCTTCTACGAAGCTTCCTTCAACCCCGCAGTGCGCATCGGGTGTGACGAGTGCGTGCGGGAGCAGGAGAGCCAGACCATAGGCAGCATCCCCAAGAACTTCTACTTCACATTCGCGGGCATGGATGAGGGGTCTAACGGCCTAACCACGGTGCCGTCTTTTGTGGCGCTCACGGCTGTGGGGACGCCCATTGCGGGGCTGACTGTGGTCATTGTGGACGATTACAACAACACTGTTGTTCAGGTGAGCGCATGATAGAGGTTGCCTGGCATGGAGCAGGGAACAGGAGAGCCAGACCATTGGCAGCATCCCCAAGAACTTTTACTTCACTTTGTGGGCATGGACGAGGGGACCAACAGCCTTACACGGTGCCGTCTTTTGTGGCTCTCACGGCTGTGGGGACGCCCATTGCAGGGCTGACGGTGGTCATTGTGGACGATTACAGCAACACTGTTGTTCAGGTGGGCGGATTTTAGAATGCGGCGGGCGGATGTTAGAGTCGTGTCAGGGGAAGACTCTTTTGTGGCTCTCACGGCTGTGGGGACGCCCATTGCAGGGCTGACGGTGGTCATTGTGGACGATTACAACAACACTGTTGTTCAGGTGGGTGCTCAGGTGGTTTCAACAGTAGCAGCTCACAGCTTACTCCTCCTCCTTGACTCAATGCGAATGCCACCTTCCTTTTTTCCCCTTCCCTCTTCCCCGTCCCCCATCACATCCCCTGTTCCCCTTCCTCCTCAGGACAACTCGTCCTTTGTCGCAATCGCTCCCGATCGCCGCATCTCGGGGTTGCTGCGAGCAACAGCAGTGCAGGGACTGGCCGAGCTGCCAGAGGTCTCCGTCATGGTCACTCCCGACGAAGCCACGCCCTTTCGCCTGCTCGTCACCGTCTCTAGCCCCACTAATGAGTTCCCCGATATAGCACACACCTTCACTGTAGACTTCTGCGCTGCGGGAACCTTCCTCAACACAACCACGGAAGATGGAACCGGGGGGGACGGTGGTGGTAGTAGTACCAGCACTGGGAGTGGGACCTGCGATCCTTGTCCTGTCGGTAGCTGGTGCGAGGCGGGTCAACCGTCCACTCCCTGCGACGACGGCAGCTTCACGTTCTATCCCTACTCCACTAGCGCCGACGAATGTGTAGCGTGCGAGGATGACAATTTGGACTGCACGGGCGGCGAACTGACGATCGCGACGCAGGCGTGGTTGGATCCCAGGACGTATAATGACACGCCGACCACGTACAGCTGTATTATCACCAATGGGTGTGTGGAGCACCTGTATGAGTACAACCTCACCACCAACACCGCGGATGTTGAGATCTGCCCCACCGGCTACGACCCCTCCTCTCCGTAAGCACTGTTTACGGCCCTTTGGGCCCTCCTCACCGTAAACACACTCTTTTGCCCCTCCTTCCCGTGAGTGTGCTGCCTTTTTCCCCTCCTCTCCTCAAGTGTGGTGCCCTTTGCACTTCCTTTCCGTGAGTGTGCTGCTGCCTTGGCCCCTCCCTCTCCCTTCCTTTATCATGCTCCTTGGTCCCTTCGCCCTCCGCTGTAGTGCACCAATGTGCCAGACATGTTCGAAACATCTCAAGTATTTCTGAGGCGCCTCAAAACTTTTGAGGCGCCTCAAAAGTTCCCTCCGCCCTCCGCTGTAGTGCACCAATTTGCCAGACATGTTCGAAACATCTCAAGTATCTCCCCCCTCGCCCACCCCCTCCACCTTGCCCCTGTTTCTTCCTGTTTCTCGGTCCTTCCGTCTCTCCCTGCGGCATGTGCTGTCCGTGATTCTACATCTCAAGGATTTCTCCTCTGCTTGGCCCACCCCATCCCCCTTCTGCATCCCCCCTGTCCTTCCTGTTCCTCCGTCCCTCCATCCCCCCTCACAGCATGTGCTGTCTGTGCGCCAACAACTACTACTCGTTCCTCGGCGATTGTACTTAGAGTCGACTCGAAAGCCTTTCCTTCCTTTTCCTCGTTCCCTTCACCTCTCCCTGCAGCATGTGCTGTCTGTGCGCCAACGACTACTACTCGTTCCTCGGCGATTGTACTTAGAGTCGACTCGAAAGCCTTTCCTTCCTTTTCCTTGTTCCCTTCACCTCTCCCTGCAGCATGTGCTGTCTGTGCGCCAACAACTACTACTCGTTCCTCGGCGATTGCACTTAGAGTCGACTCGAAAGCCTTTCCTTCCTTTTCCTCGTTCCCTTCACCTCTCCCTGCAGCATGTGCTGTCTGTGTGCCAACAACTACTACTCGTTCCTCGGCGATTGTAACTACTGCAGCGACGTTTTCAAGAAGGTACGCTGTAACTCTTATGGCACATGTGCTTGCCAACCAATGTCTGTGGGTGTTTTTGTTCCTGTTTTTGATTCAAATCAATACACGATGTAACTCTTAGGTACATGTTCTCGCCAACAACCACTTGTGTTCTCACACACACCTGTGTGTCCCTCCGTACCTCTGTGCCCTGTATGTATGCGCCTTCCCTCCCCATCTCCTGCCACTTCCCTGTCAACCCACCCCTACTACCCCGTTTCCCCCACTTCCCTCCCACACAGCTCTTCCTGCTGCTCTTCATCCTCATGGTCGGAGTGTGGGTGGCCGTGTTCCTGCTCGCCAACAACCACTCATGTGCTGACACCTGTCTTGCATTGCACCCCCCACCCCCTCCCCTCCCCCTTTCCACACAGCTCTTCCCGCTGCTCTTCATCCTCATGGTCGGAGTGTGGGTGGCCATGTTTCTCCTTGCCAACAACTACGACAACATCGACATCTTTCTCACCGAGGTACTAGCTTGCCTGGCACATGTGCGTACGACTTGTGAGACCATCTTTGAGACCTCTTAAAGATCCTCATGGTCGGAGTGTGGTGTGGGTGGCCATGTTTCTCCGTGCCAACATTTGAGGCGCCTCAAACGTGTGGGTGGCCATGTTTCTCCGTGCCAACATTTGAGGCGCCTCAAACGTGTGGGTGGCCATGTTTCTCTGTGCCAACATTTGAGGCGCCTCAAACGTGTGGGTGGCCATGTTTCTCCGTGCCAACATTTGAGGCGTCTCAAACGCGTGGGTGGCCATGTTTCTCGGTGCCAACATTTGAGGCGCCTCAAACGTGTGGGTGGCCATGTTTCTCCGTGCCAACATTTGAGGCGCCTCAAACGTGTGGGTGGCCATGTTTCTCTGTGCCAACATTTGAGGCGCCTCAAACGTGTGGGTGGCCATGTTTCTCCGTGCCAACATTTGAGGCGTCTCAAACGCGTGGGTGGCCATGTTTCTCCGTGCCAACATTTGAGGCGCCTCAAACTTGTGGGTGGCCATGTTTCTCCGTGCCAACATTTGAGGCGCCTCAAACGTGTGGGTGGCCATGTTTCTCTGTGCCAACATTTGAGGCGCCTCAAACGTGTGGGTGGCCATGTTTCTCCGTGCCAGCAACTACGAAAACATCGACATCTTTCTCACCGAGGTACCTCCAGGTTCCATGCTAGATACCCGCGAGGCATGTACTCCACCCCACCAGGTGCATTAACCCCGCCGCCCATGAGCCTGATTTATAAACCCGAACCTCTTTTCCCTCCTTCAAAATCCCTTTGATGTCCCTTCCATACACCCTCACCAGGTGCAATACCTCACAGTCATGGCGTCCATAAACCTGAACGCTGAATGCAGCAGGCCTGTCAACCCTGCTCTTTAACATCGCCCACGCCCGGCCCCTTCCCCCCTCCCTCTCCACCCCACCAGGTGCAATACCTCACGGTCGTGGCCTCCATAAACCTGAACGCGCCAGCAGCACCTAACGGATGGGTGGGGTGGCTCATCAAGATCTACAACCTCTCCGTCTTCGACCCCGTGAGTGCCACGCACATGCATGCATGCACGCACATGCATGCACGCACATGCATGCACGCACGCTAGCATGCACTGAACCTGTGGTGTTCCATGGGTCACTTGCCCAATGGGTGGGTGGGATGGCTCATCAAGATCTACAACCTTTCCATCTTGGAAGTTCGACCCCGTGAGTGCCACGCTGTCTTCGAAGTTCGACCCCGTGAGTGCCACGCTGTCTTCGAAGTTCGACCCCGTGAGTGCCACGCTGTCTTCGAAGTTCGACCCCGTGAGTGCCACGCTGTCTTCGAAGTTCGACCCCGTGAGTGCCACGCTGTCTTGGAAGTTCGACCCCGTGAGTGCCACGCTGTCTTGGAAGTTCGACCCCGTGAGTGCCACGCTGTCTTCGAAGTTCGACCCCGTGAGTGCCACGCTGTCTTGGAAGTTCGACCCCGTGAGTGCCACGCTGTCTTGGAAGTTCGACCCTGTGAGTGCCGCGCTGTCTTGGAAGTTCGACCCTGTGAGTGCCGCGCTGTCTTGGAAGTTCGACCCTGTGAGTGCCGCGCTGTCTTGGAAGTTCGACCCTGTGAGTGCCGCGCTGTCTTGGAAGTTCGATCCTGTGAGTGCCACGCTGTCTTGGAAGTTCGACCCCGTGAGTGCCACGCTGTCTTCGAAGTTCGACCCCGTGAGTGCCACGCATGCTCGTGCATGCATGCTTGTTGCTTGCTTCTCTTCCCATAACCTCAGCCTTGCATGCGCATGTGTGCAAGCATGGCTCATCAAGATCCACAACCTCTCCGTCTTCGACCCTGTGAGTGAAATCCGCGTGCATTTTCAATTCAAGCTAAACCACCATCAGGTGTGGAGCTTTACGAGTCGTGATGTTGCAGCCACGCATATTGGCCTCTTCGTCACCTCACCCTACACAACCCCATCTTCCTCACTCCGTCTCTTCACCCTACTTACCTCCCCATGCTTCCCTGTTGAGCCCTTCCCCCTCCCTCTGCCCTCCTCTCCCCTTCCCCCCCCTCCACCCTCCCCACTCGTCCCCGTCTCTCCTCTCCCCACCCCTTTCTCCGTCCCCTCACACAGGACGTGGTGGGACCCAACTGCGTGCTAACCTACCGCTTCCCGCAGCAGTTTGTGTTCGGAATCCTCATCTTCCTCGTCGGCCTCGTCGTCTACGCGCTCCACTGGTGCCTCTTCCTGCTCCGCGAGCATATCAAGCTGCTCAAGGCGAAACTGGCAGCTGAAAACGGCGAGACGAGCGGAGTCGGGCAGCTGAGCAGCACGGCGGCGAAGCAGCGGCGGCAGGAGTATTACAACAGGCTGGTGGGGGGCGCGGCGAGCTGGCTGGATGTGTGCTACATGGGAATTCTCGCCCGCGTGCTGCCCGTCTTCCAGAGCCAGATGGTCGGCGACACCAAGGTGCGGTGTGGGGGTGTCTAGTGCGGTGCTTGTGTGTAGTATGGTTTGCTGGGTGTGCGTGTGATTGGAGGCTGGGTGGTCTGGTGGGGGGAGTGGCGAGCTAGCTGGATGTGTGCTACATGGGTATTCAGACGGATATTGAGTGGCTGTCAGCAACGCACATGGGCATGCTCATCCCCTCCATCATCATCCTCATCGTCTACCTCTCAATCCTCCCCATGAGCTATGTCCCATGCCTCGTGCCTTCTGCCCCCTGCCCCCTGCCTTCCCCCTCCCAGGTGATGCTGTTCGCTCCGGAGATCGAGTGGCTATCCTCAACGCACATGGGCATGCTCATCCCCTCCATCCTCCCCTTCTTGAATCTATCAAAGCTAGCTCCAAACCTCATCGCTCACCTCTCATGACTCTCTCTTCGCTCCCTCTCCCCCATCCCAGGTGATGCTGTTCGCTCCTGAAATTGAGTGGCTATCCTCAACGCACATGGGCATGCTCATCCCCTCTATAATCATCCTCATAGTCTACCTCGCGGGTGTGCCGCTGCTCTACGCGTGGCTGCTCTTCTCGGCCAAGTGGAACCGGACGCTCTTCACAGCCGAGTTTGACCACAAATACGCTTTTCTCACTGAGCGATTCGGCCGCAAATTCTACTGGTAAGGGCTCTCGTGCTGCTGGTGCTGCTGCTGGTGCTGCTGGAGGAGAGGGTGTGCTGGTTCTGGTGCTGCTGGAGGAGAGGGTGTGCTGGTTCTGGTGCTGCCACTGGTGCTGCTGGGGGAGAGGGTGTGCTGGTTCTGGTGCTGCCACTGGTGCTGCTGCTGTTGAGGGTGCTGTTGGGTGTGAGTGTGCTGCTAACTCACCGTTGGCTGTACTCTTGGCTGATAATTCCTGCCATCTTCCTTTCCTCCCCTCCCGTTCCCCACCCCTCTTTTCCCCCACCGTCTCCTCCCTCTCCTTTCCCCCAGGTGGCACCTGCTCAACATGTCGTTGCGAGTGCTGTATGGATGCATCCTCGTCTTCCTCTACGAGAACCCCTAGATTCATTCCCCTTTCCCATCTCCCCTTTTTCTCAACCCCAACCCTCCAGGTGGCACCTGCTCAACATGTCGCTCCGGGTGCTGTACGGGGGCATCCTCGTGTTCCTCTATGAGAACCCCGAGGCTCACTCCCCTCCCTCCCGTCGCTTCCCCTTAACCTCCACAAAACCCATCACCCCTCCCCCAGGTGGCACCTGCTCAACATGTCGCTGCGAGTGCTCTACGGCTGCATCCTTGTGTTCCCCTGCGAGAACCCCGAGGCTCACCCTCCTTCCTTCCCCTTTCCCTGTGTACACCCCCTCTTCACCACCCCTCCCCCAGGTGGCACCTGCTCAACATGTCGCTGCGGGTGCTCTACGGCTGCATCCTCGTGTTCCTCTACGAGAACCCTGAGGCGCAGATCATCATCCTCGTCGTCCTCCAGATCCTCCGCATCGTCGTCGAGTACCGCTTTGCACCGTTCACCTCCTCCTCTGTCGAGTACCTTCAGGCCACCCTCAACCTCGGTGAGTAATGCATTTCTGCACCTGGAACTGAAAGGTAATCATGCACAGAACCGCTTTGCACCGTTCACCTCCTCCTCTGTCGAGTACCTTCAGGCCACCCTCAACCTTGGTGAGTGCTGATTTGCTCTCTGCATAACTTCCCATGAACCTCCTCTCGAGTTCCGCTTTGCACCGTTCGCGTCCTCCTCCGTGGAGTACCTTCAGGCTACGCTCAACCTCGGTACGTAACCCCACACAGTGTTGCTGTGAGGCACCTGAAAGAGAGGTGTTTTTCACGCTCTCTGCTCATCTTCAACTACACATCCGAGTCCATCCTCCCAGAGGTCATCATGGCCATCAGCACCGTCCTCATGCTGCTGCCTGCCATCGTGGCCATCAGCTACGAGGTCTCGAGCTACTTTCCCTTCTCTTCCTCATGCTCCCTTCTGCTCCTTCCAAAGCCTTTCCCCCCTCTTTCCCTCCTCCTGCCCCCCTTCCTATTCCCTGTTCTCCCCTCCTTCCCCTCCCCCAGGCGAGGTGTTTTTCACGCTGTCGCTGCTCATCTTCAACTACACGTCCGAGTCCATCCTCTCAGAGGTCATCATGGCCATCAGCACCGTCCTCATGCTGCTGCCTGCCATCGTGGCCATCAGCTACGAGGTGTCGAGCAAGAGAATGGAGGCGTTTAACTACAGTGTGCTGGACGAGATCTGGGAGCAGGAGAGCGGCAAAAGAGAAGACCAGCTGAGGGGGCTGGACCCTTATCAAATCGTGCAGCTGACTCAGGTGGGTGTGGGTGTCTGTGTTTGTGCATGCATGTGTGTGCCTGTGCGCCTGTGTGATGGAGTAAGGAGAGAGAGGACCAGCTGAGGGGGCTCGACCCGTACCAGATCGTGCAGCTGACGCAGGTGGGTGGGTGGGTGTCTGTGGATGATTGGATGGTGGGTGGGTGGGTGGGCAGATCAATGGGTAAGAATGACGAGGGAGAACGAGGGAGAGAGAGAGGGAGCTCGACCGTACCAGATTTTGCAGCTGACGCAGGTGGGATGATGGGTGTGTCTGTGCTTGTGTTGGTGCATATATGTATCTGTTTATGTGTGCTTGGAGTGAGAGAGAGGGAGGACTAGCTGCGAGGGCTCGACCCATACCAGAATGTGCAGCTGACGCAGGTGGGTAGTTGTAGTGCATTTGTGCACCTGGCTTGGGGAGTGGTTTCGACCTGGAGCTCTCTTTCAGTTCCTGCGCCACTGCCAGGGATCGACCTGCTGCTGAGGGTACCAACCCAAAGTCCACGTTCCTTCCTTATTTCCCCCACTCCCCACCTCTCGCCCCTTGCATCTCCCTTACATTATCAGATCGGAGAGTGGTTCCGCCCGCGCGCTCTCTTCCAGTTCCTGCATCACCGCCCCGCCACGGCATTGATTTTCTGCTGAGGGTATCAACCCAAGCTCACGTTCCTCCCCTCCCATGCTTCACCCTTACCTTACCAGATCGGAGAGTGGTTCCGTCCACGAGCTCTCTTCCAGTTCCTGCATCACCGCCCCGCCACGGCATTGATTTTCTGCTGAGGGTATCAACCCAAGCTCACGTTCCTCCCCTCCCATGCTTCACCCTTACCTTACCAGATCGGAGAGTGGTTCCGTCCACGAGCTCTCTTCCAGTTCCTGCATCACCGCCCCGCCACGGCATTGATTTTCTGCTGAGGGTATCAACCCAAGCTCACGTTCCTCCCCTCCCATGCTTCACCCTTACCTTTCCAGATCGGAGAGTGGTTCCGTCCACGAGCTCTCTTCCAGTTCCTGCATCATCGTCAAGGCATCGACTTGCTGCTGAGGGTGCGCGACCGCATGCAAGCATGCTCCCTGGCTGGTCTGGGGGAAGTCGAGTGGATCGAGCAGCTGAAAAAACCCCAGCAGTACGCCGGTCTCTCCCAAATCCTCCTCGGAAACAAGAAGGGTTACATTCCCGTCGCGCGGTTACCGCCTCAGGGCGTGTATTGTCTGTTGCACGGGGTGTGGCATGCGGACGGGGCGTGCACGGCTGCCCAGGCTGCGGCGGCGGCTCGGCGCCGAACCAACCGCCGGACCAAGTCCCGGAGCAGCCGGGTTTCGTTCGGGGGAGGGATGGGAGAGGGAGCGCCGGAGACTCCTGGGAGTGGGTTGCGTAGGATGGTGAGTTGGGGGTCAAACACTCCTGGAGGGGCGAGCATGAGGGAGAAACCGGCCAAGAGTCTCAAGATTGCTGAGAAGAGCTGGCCTCCGCAGCTGGGAAGGAAAGTGCATTGGTGCCCTGCTTCGGGATGCGATCCTCTTGCCGCGACGAAGAGGTTTGGGAGCGGGAGGATGGGTGCTGGTGGGATGGCTGGGACTCCTACCGGAGGAGGAGGAGGATGGGGAGGAGGAGAGGAGGCAAGGCCTCTGTACCCTGTTGCTCCGGAAACCCCGACTGGTGCGGTTGAAACTCCAGTAACCCCTGCTGCCCCTGCGCCTGCGGCTGCTGTTAATGGCGGTGGGGATGGAGACTCAAAGCCAAAGAAGCGGCTTCTCAGGCAGATGTCGGATAGAGACGACAGCGACACAGAGGGAGCAGCAGCAGGAGCAGGAGCAGGAGGAGGAGGCAGCAGGCCTGGAACAGCAGGAACGCCAGGAGCGGGAGGAGGGATCATGCGAGGGGCGATTAGCCGACCGGGGAGTTCGGGAGGGGCGGCGATCGGAGGGGCAGGCGGTGGGGGGATGGAGGTGGTACAGGCGAATCTGGATATGGCTGAGCTCACGTTTGCATTCCAGTCGAACCTGGCTCTGCTGGTGAAGGCTGAGAAGAAACGCAAGGTGCAGAAGGAGGCGCTGCGGCAGATCATCCACTCCAAGGCGACTTATCATATTCTCAGCTGGTTCACCAGCGAAGAGAGGTGAGTGGTGGTTCACGAGTGAGGAGAGGTAAATGGTGGTTCACGATCAGAGGCTGTTTGTAAAGCTGGTGAGGGGGGTGAGGCAGGCAGCGAGGTATTTCCAGCACGGTCCTGCCATCTCTCTCACCCTCCCCCACCTCCCCCTCCTTCCACCCTCCCACTTTCCTTCCCACACATGCCGCCACCCCCGATCCCCTCTTCCTCACCAGCACGGTGGACGATCAGCGGCTGTTTGCAGAGCTGGTGAAGGCACAAGGCATCCTAGCACAACCTGGCCATTTCTCTCAACCCCCACGCCTTCCCAAACCCCAACCCCAACCCCCACCTCCCCTCACCATCACGGTGAACGACCAACGGCTGTTTGCAGAGCTGGTGAAGGCGGTGAGGCAGGCAGCCAAGTGATTCTGCCACGTCCCTCTCGCATCCCCCCCACTCCCCACACTTGCCACCAACCCCTCTCCCCCTTTCTCAGCACGGTGGACGATCAGCGGCTGTTTGCAGAGCTGGTGAAGGCGGTGAGGCAGGCGGCCAAGTGATACCCAGCACAACCCTACCATCCCTCTCAAGCTCGCCCTTCCCCCCTTGTCCCCCCTCCCCCATCTCCCCGTGCTTCTCCCCTCTCCAGCACGGTGGACGACCAGCGGCTGTTTGCAGAGCTGGTGAAGGCGGTGAGGCAGGCGGCCAAGACCCGCAAGAGCTCCATGCGCTGGCTGCAGGGCGCTCAGTGCTTCTACCCCGGGGAGGGCCGCCTCACCAACCAGCTCTCCAAGATGCTGTAAGTTGATGCTCTCTCTTGAGTCACCTTAGAAAGAGCTCCATGCGCTGGCTGCAGGGCGCTCAGTGCTTCTACCCCCGGGAAGGCCGCCTCACCAACCAGCTCTCCAAGATGCTGTAAGTTGATGCTCTCTCTTGAGTCACCTTAGAAAGAGCTCCATGCGCTGGCTGCAGGCTGCACAGTGCTTCTACCCCGGGGAGGGCCGCCTCACCAACCAGCTCTCCAAGTTGCTGTAAGTTGATGCTCTCTCTTGAGTCACCTTAGAAAGAGCTCCATGCGCTGGCTGCAGGGTGACTCATCACATCAGCTCTCCAAGGTCCCGTGAGTTTATGGCTTTTTTGTTTACATATTTTTCCATCTATTTTATTTTCTTGCCACAAGAATTGCAGTCTTTTTAGCCATGTGTTGAGTTGCGCATTCCAGAGTTGCAAATTTGAGTGGGTACTAAAAGGTTTCTTCATGTCTTCATGCTGGCTGTGTGCTGCAGGAGTGAAGAGCGCCCACTTGACGACAACAAAGAACCTAATGGAATGTGAATGGAGCCTTAGCTCCCCGTGATCAAGGAACTTGTAAAAAAAAACCGTTTGATGTATTATACCGGGGCAACATTCCCGCGCTATTTATTTTGCAAATAGTTGACATGCTTTGGCTCAGCCATGAGATTGGTTTTACTCATTTATCTTGGTTTACTTGGCTTTGCTTCATTGGAGCTAGCATTGTGGTGTTATAAGATATTGTGTGTAGAACAATATTGGATTTTGCCGAAGTACTTCATGGCTTGTTTCATTAGGCGGTAACCTCCTAACGATGATGAACCTGGCTGGCTTTCTGGAGTCCGTACAGCGTAGGGCAATTGGTCGTTGGATTCTTGTGGACAGCCCACGTCGGAGAACTGGTGACGGAGAAAATCCAGACGAGATGAATCTGACGCAAAAATCTCACCGATATTGGTACTGTACATGCAGTGGCATGAACTCATCCGTTCCTTGTCCACCACCAGAAACGTCACCCAGTTGCATCAATCACCTCCACAACTGGGGAGACAGAGGGGTCAGGCAGGGGTGCCCACTGGCGCCATACCTGTTTCTTTGCGCACTCGAGCCGTTATGCAGGGCCACGCAGCGGGAGAAGCTGGGCATCGGACCGGTCGGGAAGGAGCCGCTTGCATATGTGGGATACGCCGACGACACATCATTTCTGCTGAATGGAGAAGCCCAACTGCGGAAGGTGGTGGAGGTCTTGGGCACCTTCGGGAAACAGTCAGGGCTGAAGGTGAATTGTGAAAAGTCAGTGGTGGTACCGCTGGGAAGCAACCGGGGAGAGCCGGCGCCGGCAGACGTCTCGTATAAATGGTCGGAGCAGGGAGAGCCGGAGAGGCTCTTGGGGGTGTGGATAACGCCCAACGGTGACCCGGATCCATCCTGGAAGAGGGCGTACGAAAGGATAAAAGAGGAGCTGAGGAAGTGGGAAGCGCAATATCTAACAACCACGGCAAGAGTGGCAGTGATTAGCTGCTATGTCCTGCCAGTACTGATGTTCCAGGCCCAAGTCTACTCGCCGCCGGAGGAGACGTGGGAAAAAATCAGGAAATTATGTCACGCGTTCGTATCGGCAGGGGAGGCGGCAGAAGAAAAAATATTCATCCTGTGGAGCGCGTACCTGGCGTGTCTGCCGCGGAAGGGTGGAGGTCTGGGGCAGCTGGACCCGAAGCTTTGCCTGGACGGGCTGGCGATCCGCAGGATCGGAAAGTTTCTGAAGGAGCCGGACGGAACGCGCCGCTGGCTGGCAGAGAAGGCGGCGGCTTTCCCGCAAGGGCTGGCCACGCTGTACGCGCACCCGTCGGCAATAAAGCAGTGGCAGCGCGGTAGCGAACGATGGAAGGCGGCGGCAAAAGTGTTCTGGAAATCACCTTTCGCGACACTGCCGGCACCAAGGAGCAGGTGGGAGGTGGAAGAGGAGTTTATTTGTTTCAACAGAAACATCATGCATCGAGGGGAGAGCCCTTTCGGTCACCAAATAGGCACAGCGGCCCTCATCACCACGCGCGTTCGGGACCTGCTCACGGACGGGCCAGGGGGACGGAGGGGGGTGAAAGATGAAGAGGTGCTGACGATTGAACTGGGAAGCAAGGAGGCGACGGTCATGGCAAGGAAGGCATACGGGGCCATGCCGCCGGAGTGGAGGAAATTGATCGAGGAGCCGGCAACGGCCGAAGCTGTGGTGAAAGCATCGGGAGTGGTGAGGTACATCCTGCAAGGGCAACCGGCTAGACTCCCATGGGCAGTGGACGGGGTGGACGGCAGGAAGGTGGTCGCGTCCAGCATGTCCCTCGGTGAAGACGGGAGAATAGGGAAAAAAGCAAGAGCGGAGAAAACGTGTTTCGAAGCGTGCAGACTCCAACCGATGGCGGTTCAGAAAGGATTAATGCTTGGCCCCGTGGGAGATCCAAAGGTGCGGTTGCTGTCTCTACCAGGACTGTTCGCTGGGGGAGAATTGGTGCCGCTACGCGGGGTAAGGGCCGCACTATCCAAGGCGAAAGGGCGTTCTTGGAGACAAGCGGAGTGGGAGGACGTGTGGGGAAAAAAGATTGACTGGTGGAAGGTCATTGAGACCAGAGACTCGATAAATGTACCGGGCAAGGCGAGGGACGTCCTACTAAGGGTTCACAGCATGAACCTGCAGGTTGGGGGGAGGCTGGGTTTCTTCCAGAACATGATAGCATGTGTGCACTGTGGAGAGGAGGAAACCCTAGCACATTGTCTCTACAGCTGCCCGGTCATACAACCGATCATTGGCGCGCTGAAGCGGACGTTGCACATGCTGAACCCGGGCAGGTCGGTGGACTGTCTGGGGGGCCTACTGTTTGGCGAAAAGGGCACAGCGTCAGGTTTTCCGGAGATGACGCTGACATCAGTGGTGCTTAGGCAGATCTGGTTGGCGCGATGCAATGCAGTTTGGCGCGCAGCTCCTTTCGAGAGAAAGAAGGTGGGGAGATGTGCTGTGCTGGACTTCATGACGCATGCGAGGGTGGTGCTGGCAGCAAGGGGAAGGCTGGCAGCGGCCGATGAAGGGAGAAGTTTCTGGAAGACAGACAACTGGAGCCATGTGGCTGCGGATGAGAAGTTGCAGCTTCAGAAGATTTGCGGTGATGGTGGGCCAACAATTTGGGCGGCTCCTTTCCTCTCCATCTGGCGCAACCCGCGCACTTTCTATCAGCCTCCGTAGCATGCCATAGGGGGGCGGTGCGGCGTCCACAAGGCGTGGCCTAGACCCTCCAAGATATACAGTTACGACTGCGGATGTATCTATATTTGATAATATATTTACACCTCCGAAAAAAAAAAAAAAAAAAAAAGGATCTCAATCCTCCATCTGAACCATCAGCCCGAAGCGCTACCACGTGTTTTTTCTGGCCCAAGGCTGCTCTCCCTGCATCCCTCTCGTTGGAAGTCCTTGTGCATGAGTTGGCATTTTGCAACAAATCTTCTGCTTACGTGGCCGAAGCCCGCGCGCCTCGTGAAACTGCCCCTCGCATTTTTTCTGCGGGCTGTGGGCAAGGTGCTCGGTTGAAATGAGCGTCAGTTGGAGCTTCCAGTAACCCTGACGTGTTCAATTATTGTTTCTTATTGCTCAGTTGCTTTCCTCTACAGTACGCCATGGAAAGCAGCACAAAAAAACAGCTGAGGTGAGAGGACAGGAGACAATTGACAGACATTCCGTGTGGCACGCGCCGCATGTATCCTTCACCATCGATTTTCGAATTGCTGCTGATTTGTCGGTATTCGCTGTGTTGTCATCTCATGTCCATCTCCTTTGCAGAGGGTGATTTGTCTCTGGTCTCGCGTCTCTGTTCCATAGGCTTTGTTGTGACAATGTTATCGCCAGGAACTACAATGTCGTTAGCATCATATCTGCATTCAACAATGCTGTTCCCAGGCTGTGGCTGTCGTGGCAGCTTCAACCCCATCCATACATCATCCACAAATCAAGCGGACGAAATGATCGCAACCGCCATGGAACGAAGCATTTTTAGCGGCGATTGGTGAACCGACAAGCTGCCAGTGAATCTCCAGAGGAGCCTATTACGCCCGCATGTACCTTACATCCATTTTAGAGCTTATATACGTCTACACTGTCTGGTGCTGTCCTGTCGTGTGCTGAACTGTACTGTTTACACACACCCTCTCTCCACTCCAGCTTATCATCTCATCCCTCTCTCCCTCTCTCGCTTTCCCCCACTCTTTCCTGCTCGCGCCCGAAGCTCATTCGGCTTGCGAGACTGCCGGGCTCAGGTAACTGATGCCCGTGATTCCCAATGCAGCACTTGTACACACGGCCCACAACAACTAGAGAACGTGTGGCCGCAAATTGGCGCTCCACGTTCACGAAGGGTCACGGTCGAGCCCCAGGGAGTTTCAGCCTGGACATTTAGCTCAGGCCCTCGCATTTCAAATCTGCATCCATCGTCACTATGGCAATAACCTGAGGGACAATCCAGAGCCTCTTACCACTGTAGAAATTTCCCGACGAGCATTCTAGAAGAGGCTAGACACAGCATCACCTCACGATTCCTTGTTTTTCAAAATCCAAGGAAATAGTCCAGCTCCTAACACGTTGACTGTCTGACGTTCCGACCGACCCCATTAGTTACCTTGCATCGATTTGCTGGAGATTTGACCATGATCGGACATGGAGCAACATTCGATACTGAGCTGGATGTAATCCCATCAATTTCGTACTAATATCTTACTCTCTGCCGCGTCTCGGTCGCAGCACAGTGAGGGGAAAGGCTGTTAGGACCATTTTAAGCGCTTTGGGAATTCTCTAAGTAGGCAAACCGAACAGACCAATGGCTGGTGGAGGTGGCTCTGTCGGCGCAAATGGCGCCGCAGGTCCCGCCTTGTTTGCCGCACCCAAGCCGACGGGGATGGCGGCAATCGTGCAGCAATCCATGGCGGTTCAGTTCCTCGTCGACCCGTCCACTGCCGCGATTCTAGGCTCGAGTAAAGGCGCGTCGCGAACGCTGGGTCCAGCTGTTAACGACCAGACGTCGCTCCTCGATATTACCTTTCTCTCGCAAAACAAATGGCGGCATTTGATTCGCCAGCTGAGCCGCGGGAAGGTGGAAAAGATTCATCTGCCCGGGATCATTCGGGCCAAACAGCCTCGAATGTCCATGCGGTTGTCCACGTCATCAGCGGCCGCGGCAGCGTCTGTGGCGGCTCCGAGGAGATCAGTGGCGGGTACTCCGAGAGGATCCAGGCCATCGTCATCCGACCGTTCATTTCACCAAACCGCAACGGCCGCGATTGACCCAGCCGCGAGCCGCCCCTCCAGCGATTGGTTAGTCCCCGCAGGTCAGGCCAACGGCGGTTCGGCCACCAGTAGTGGTAGAAACTCCACTCGACCCAGCGATGTCTTTAAAGTCGACTTACCAGAAATCGACATTCCTAAGACCATCCCGACACCACCATCAGTGTCGTCCAGTGGCAGTGGTGGCCCGAGTTCCACTGAAGCGACTGCGAGGCGCGACTCTTCTGGTGTGGGTCGCGGGTCGTATCCCCGCAGAATACGGACTGCGTCGTTTGGTCGAGCTGGCTCTTGCAACGAAGCGATTCCCGAGAATGGCGGCAGCGCGAACGGCAGTGGGAACAACGCCGGAACTGACGCTCCCACTCCCGTCTGGGGCGTAGAACACGCGGCGAGTGCGTACAACGAAGGAGCGTCAAAAGAGGGCGTTTCGTCTGGTGACCGGACCCCTTCGATATTGCGTGCGTCTCCGAGAGCGTTGCAGAAGCTTCCGTCTTCGTCGTCTCTCCCGCCTCTTCTTCCAGCAACAGATTCGACCGACAGCAGCAGCAGCGGACGAAGCAGCAGCAGCAGCGGACGGCACGGCGGCCTGCACAGCGGCTCGAGCCCGTGGGACGGCGGCCTTACCTCCCCGCCCACCTCCTCCCCGAACAGCATCATCGGGAACTGTCTCCCCGCCATGAGCGGAACTCCTAATGCGGTTGGCGCCGGCCGACTGGGCGCAAACCTGACGGTTGCGCGCGCGCCCACTCCAGCCCTCCCCTCGCCACCGGAAGCGGAAGGAACCACGGCCAACAGCGCTGTTTCGCCCGCGCCCAACGAAGGAGGCAGCGTAAGCGCGGGACGGAGAGGGCCTGGAAGGATGATGTCGATTCGACGGAAGACGGAGAAACGTGGGGGAAAAGGTGCAGCGGGGAGCGAATCTGGCGAAATGAGCTTGCAGGGTTCGCCGCAGCAGTCGCAGCAGGAGCGGATGCAAATTGACGGGGAACAGCGCGGAGAGCCAGCGCTGGCGGAAGGGTCGGCGGAAGGCGTTTCTACGCACGCAACCAAGCCCCCGCAGCAGAGGCCAGCGGGTCGGGGGAGAGAGTGGCGGAAAGGACTCAAGAGTCTGTTCGGGTCAAATTCGGTCAAGCGGAGAGGGGAAGCGGAGGAGGGAGGTAGTGTTAGAGGTGGGGTGAACACAACTGGCGGAGTCGAAACTGTGATGACAGGGGAAGCGGAAGTGGCAGATACGCGCATGGGGGAGGTTAGCTCGCGGGGGGAGGAGGAGGAAATATCGGGGGGAGGCGATTTTGTATCGGGGATGAGTGCAGCGGAGGCGGATGAGTCGGGTGACTTCCGGCGAGTTACGGTCGAGCTACAGTTCTTTCAAATAAATTCTTCGAAGGAACTTGTTGCAACAGGTAACTCTTTCCGTTCTTTTCTCTTCACGCCCAGCGTCATCAAAAGGTGAAACGAACACAGCCAATGGCGCAGCTGCTAAGGCACAATAGTACCATAAATAGCCTTCCCAAATTCTCTTTTCTATTATGTACCACTTCACTATCCTTATATCCCCTTGATTTGCAGTGCAATTCCTCCAGTCTCACGCCGAGCAGCAGCGGGAGGTGCAGCAAGCACAAGCAGTGCTGCAGTTGCAGAACTATGCCGGATTGGGAACAGTTGTGCTAGAGGGTGTGGACGGCGTGGTAACCAGCTGTAACACCAGCGCAACAAGCATCCTCGGATTCCCGGAGCCGTACATTATGGGGCAGACGCTACAACACTTTGTAGCAGAGTCTGAGAAGGCCACGTTTGCGGTAAGTCATGGAATCACCTCCCCTTCTCCCTCATACCAGTAGACCACCTCCCTTGTCCTCTTTCCCTTTATCTCTCCCACCCGATTCTTGCTCAGCATACGCTTTCTAAAACCGCTTTCCCCACACATTCATCTCTTTCCTTCTTTTCTTCATATCTAACCTTTCCCCTCCCTTTTCTCCCTTCCCGTGCCCTCACTTCCCTCGTCTCTTCTCCTTTCCCCGCATTCTCAAACGGTTCAGGAGGAGTACAGCAAGGTGCAGCAAGGTGTGCTGGAGTGGACGCAGCAGGAGATTCGGTTGAGAAAGATTGACCGCAGCACAGTGGCAGTGAGAATCACCATGACCAGCCTGTCCACTTCCCCGCCAGCTGCGGCGCCTGCTACCACCCCACCTGCCGCTCCTGCTACCGCTGCTGCTGCTGCCGCCGCCGCCGCCGCTGCCGCTGCTGCTGCTGCTAAGGCTGCTGCTGCTGCTGCTGCCGGTGGCGGTGCTGCTTCTGCCGCTGCAGTTCCAGCAGCCGTGGCAGGAGAGACAGACACGAGCAATATGAGCAGAACAAGCAGCCACGGGAGTGGATCGAGCGAGGGAGAGGCGGGGCGGGCAGCAGTCAGAGAGCACACGGCAGTGCTCTGCATGTTTCAAGACATCAGCGCCCAGAAAGCCCTGGTAAGCGTTGTGATTTTGTTAAAAAGTACGGTAGTTTGAGTCGACTCAGAATGCAAGACATGTACATGTCTTCCTTGCTGACCACGCTGTGCATGCTCCAAGACATCACCGCCCAGAACGCTCTGGTACGCCTTCCAGGCTCTGGCTTTTAGTCGATCTCGCTCGTCACTCCCTCACCCCCTTCCGCCCCCACACCTCAACCCCACCTCTCAAGAACAACACATGGAGAACTATCGCACGATGGTGGAGCACTTCGCTGCAGACGTCCTTTCGTCCTCACCCCCTCATTCTCAACCATTCCCTTGCCTTTCCCCCATCCCCGCCCCCCTCTCTCCCTCTCACCTCTCAGGAGCAACACATGGAGAACTACCGCATGATGGTAGAGCACTTTCCAGCCGGCGCGGTGCTCATATCCCACGCGGGCGAGGAGGGCGAAACCATCCTCGTTAACAGCACTCTCGAGGCTATGCTGGGCTGCGAAAAGGGCTCCATTAACAGCGTCGACAAATGGTTCACTACACTCTACGCGGAGAAAGCCCGCCGCGCGCGGCAACTCCACGAGGCGCGGCGCGTGTCTGGGAGCAGCAGGGATGTGACGAACACGGTGCAGCAGATTAAGAAGAAGGACGGGTCGAAGCTGGTGGTGGATGTGACGACGTATCAGTTTGACCTGGGGGAGATGTGGCTCGTGAATGACATCACCGAGAGCCGCAAGAACCAGTTCAAGTTCCGCATGCTCTTCGAGCTGTCCTCGGTACGTGCTGCCTCGGTCGAAACCACCACCCCCTCACTTGAATCCTCCACGCAATCCGTAGCTTCCTTCCAAGTGCATGCGCTTCGTTTCTCACCTTCTCTTGACTTCTCCTCTTTCTCTCTCTGTCTCCCTCTGCCTCCCTCTGTCTCCCTCTGCCTCCCTCTGTCTCGCTTTTCCCCTCTTCCCGCACCTTCAGGATCCCAAGCTGCTGCTGAACCAGGACGGACGCGTGTTCGACTGCAACCAGTCCGCCATTCGCATTCTCAAGTGCGGCACAAAGGAGTCGCTCCTAGGCAAGACCCCCTGGGAGCTCTGCCGTCCGCAACAACCCTCAGGCCAGCGCTCCGCGTTCCTTAAGGCTGTTCTCGAAGATCTCGCCGCCAGCAACAACGTCCCCGCGCCCGCAGGCTCCGCGGGAGTCCCGGGCGCGACGGTGCTAAGCGGCGCGTCCGCGGTGGGCGGGGAGAAGCGGTACCGATTCGATTGGCTGTTCGAGGATGAGGAGGGGCAGGACGTACCGGTGGAGGTGCTATGTAAGATGGTGAATTTCTTTGGCGAGCCGGTGTATCTGATGGTTTGGCACGACATGGCGGAGGCGCGGAAACAGGAGGCGGAGCTGCGCCGCGCGAAAGCTGAGGCGGAGAAGGCGAGCAAGGCCAAGACGCAGTTTTTGGCGAATATGAGCCACGAGATCCGCACGCCCATGAACGGTGAGATTTGGATTTTCCCACCTGATCCCACTCGATTTACATCTCGTCATCGCACTGCCACTATCATGCATGCTGAGCGGACGGCTCATCCCCCCTTCCTTTCCCCCTTCTTTCCCACGCTTCTTTCCCCACGCTTCCTTCCCCGCGCTTCTTTCCCCGCGCTTCTTTCCCCGCGCTTCCTTCCCCACGATCTTTACTCTCCCGCGACCAGGAATCATCGGCGTCGCTGATCTGATGCTCGCGACGCCGCTCTCGCCGGAGCAGTGCTCGCTGCTCGAAACCCTAAGATCGTCGTCCGAGGGCCTGCTACACATCCTCTCCGACATCCTCGATTTGAGCAAGATCGAGAACGAGAAGATGGTCCTCGATTTTAGCAACTGGCGGTTGCGGGAGAACGTGAGCAACTGTGTCGCGCTGTTCCGCGGATCCGCTACCGGGAAAAACATCCGCATCAAAGCGCGCGTCGATAAGGACGTCCCTATCGAGGTCTTCGGAGACTGCATGCGCGTTCGTCAGGTGGTCACTAATCTACTAAGCAACGCGATTAAGTTCACGTCGGCGGGCGGACACGTGTCGGTGCGCGTCAGCCTCGTGGATCCGCACGCTCCGGGCCGCGGAAAGCGGCGCGAGTCGTTCTCGAGTTTGGAGCCGCTAAGAGAAAACGCGGATATGGATAAAGTGGTGGTACAGTTCGAAGTACGAGACACAGGCATTGGGATTCCCCCGCACGCGCAGAAGAACCTTTTCCAAGCCTTCAATCAGGTATGTCCCAATAAATCTACACCACAGACGAAACTCTTTTTTTATATAACGATTATAACGATTATAACGAATCTCGTTGTTAGAGAGCTGATTCTTTATTCAATTGTGTCAATGTGGATAATATTTATCAGCTTGGATTTCTTATAACGATTCGCTCACTCGTATTTATGCAGGCTGACAACTCCACATGTCGGAGGTTTGGAGGAACAGGCCTTGGCTTAGCGATTTGCAGGGCGCTTGTCAACCTCATGGGTGGCGAAATCACCCTTAGAAGCGAAGAAGGAAAAGTGAGCCTCTTTTTCATCCTTTTTTTTCTCTCCGTTTCTCTTCGCCGGATGAATTTGATGCTTCATCCCTTGTTAGGTGCTTCACTGACACATTATGCCTTCTTTTTTTATTTTATTTATTCTTTTGCAGGGATCGTCCTTCACCTTCACTGTGTGCCTTGGGGTCACAGAAGCCGCTCCAAGTGACGTGGAGAGCGCAGCGGAGGAAAGCATTGGCGATGAGGAGAGCGAGGAAGAGGAGGTGGAGGGAGAGGAAGACGAGTATGAGGAGGGCGAGGAAGAGGAGGAGTGGGATGAGCTAGGCGAAGAGGAGGACGAAGAAGGGGTAGAGGAGAACATGAACATGGAAGGAGAGGAAGGAGAGGGAAGCATGTCGGAGAGTGAAACAGACAACGAGGAGGAGCATTGGGCAAGGCACTTGGTTCGGGCGGCAACCGAGATCGCCATTGGCCGGTCCCGGAAGTCTCGGTCTCGGAAGGGAGGGAACAAGGAAGAAGCAAGTACACACGGAGGCGGTGTGCTGAAACAACATCACTCCATGGATTGCGACAGTGACGCTACGTTTGAGACGTCTCGGTCGCAAATGACAACTCCTACCTCTTCCTCTTCTTCTCGGTCCATCTGGTCTGCAGGGAGCCGGAGACTCAACCGCAGCCCGACCCCTCGGCACAAGAAGGCTCTGCGCCGGGCAGATTCTAAGGAGATTTTTCTGCCCATTGCGGTGCCGGCCAATACCAGCACCAGCAGCAGCACCAGAAGCGGCACTAGCAGCGGTGCAGTGGGTGCTTCTGAGTGTCAATCCCGGAATCCTAATCCCTCAGCAGCAACACCAGCAGCTCCAGCCATTCCTGCTTCACCCACCCTCACTTGGCCTCCCACCACCTCTGCCGCTGCTCCTGCTGACAATGACTCGTCCTCTGCTGCTCCTACCCCTGCTGCCACTGCTTCTGCTGCTCCTACTGCTTCTGCTGCTCCTGCTGCTCCTAGTTATCCGCCTCCCCCCAGCCCTGCCGCAATCTCTGCGGTCCGAAGCCTGTTCAGCAAGTCTAAGAGCGATAATTACTTGCTGAAACCGAGTGCAACGGAGGGTAAATTCCTCACCCGCAGCAAGAGTAAACCCAGGAATCTAAACACTGCAGGGAGCAGCAGAGGGAGCCAAGACAGGAGTGCAGACAGCAATAGCAGCAGCAACAAAAGCAACAGCAACGGCAGCGGCGACAGCAGCAGCAGCAGCAGCAGTAGAAGCATCCATAGGGCCAGGAGCACGAACAGCTTTACGGAGAGGATTAGTGGCACTAACGGCAGCAGCAGCAGCAGTGTTCGCAGGAGCAGCAGCACAACTAACCTCAAAGAAATGACCAACAACAATACCATCACCACCACCAGCAGCAGCAGCAGCAGCACGGGCAGAAACGGCAGCAATGGTCGACGAGTGTCTATCGCCATAACCAAACCCTCCTCGTCCTTCAAATCTCACTCATTACAAGACTGCTCCGGCCCTCCCCCTCGGCGATGCAAGACGCAGGAGCGACCCCCTCGCTCCCCTTGCTCCAAATCATCCCCAGCCATCCCTCTCACTTCTCCCCTGTCCTCTGTGAAACGAACCGGCAGTGCCCACTCTCTCGTAAATGCCGGAAAAGGAGGAGGGGGGCATGGGGGGCACGGGGGGCACGGCTGTCACAAGAAAGTTTTCATGGACGAGCTGCCCGAGAAGCTGCCCGAGTGTGTGAAGTCGTGGAAAGTTTTGGTTGCGGAGGACAACACGGTGAACCAGATGGTGGTGACCCGCATGCTGAAGAACCTTGGGATTGCCACCGAGGTGGCCGAGAATGGGTTGAAGGCGCTGCACGCGTGCGAGAGCAACCATTACGACTTCATTCTCATGGTGAGTGTTCCTCCTTGTGAGCGTGAGAACATTCTGCTCTGTTTCGCTTTTCGTTTGACCCCAAGGTTATGTTTAGTCTTTGCAGAGTACGGGAATGGCAGGGCTGCTTCGTTCACACATCAGCTCAATCTATCCCCTGATCCCCCCCCCTTCCCTACGTCCCCCCTATTTTTTCTTCTTTCCTCTCTGCAGGACTGCCACATGCCGGAGATGGACGGGCTGGAAGCCACACGGCAGATCCGTAATGCAGAGCAGCTGCTTTACATACACATCAGCTCAATCTCTCCCATCCTTCCCCCTCTCCCCCTCTCCCGGTCCCCCTCCCCAGGACTGCCACATGCCGGAGATGGACGGGCTGGAAGCCACGCGGCAGATTCGCAATGCGGAGCAGCTGCTGCCCAGCCGGCCGCCTAAGTTCATCGCAGCGCTCACTGCCAGCGCGTTTGACTTCGAGCGCGAGGCGTGCTTTGCTGCTGGCATGAACCACTTTCTCACAAAGCCGATTCGCCCGAAAGACCTGGAGGATTTGGTGATGAAGCTGGTGGAGATGCGGAAGTGATGCGGTGCCGTGGGATGTGATGGGATGTGGCGCGATCCAAAGCGATGCGGCGTGTTTTTTAACTCGCTTCTCACCAAGTGAAGAGTTCTACATGTGGCACGGAAGTGAAGGTTGGCTGATGCGGAGGATGGGGAAATGGGGGACTGGGCAAAGGAGGGGAAACAGATGTGATTATAAGTTCCTCTGTGTGCCTGACTGACTAGTATGGCATGTGCTGTATTTGATTTTTGTGCCAGCTCCTTGACAAGTGACTAATAGAGCTGCATTGCAGTGTTAGCACCTGTGAAAATTAATGCTTATTGACAGCTATGTCTTGAGTTTTTAACAGTGTCTTTTTCATTGACTGGCCCCTTTCTATTCTACCTCACTGGCAAATCAGACATTAACTGCAAGCCGCTGTTGTGTGACACTCAACAATCTCAAATGCTCACTATTTATAACTGTGTAAATTTGCAGAAACAAAAAGTTGCTATCCTACTAGATACAGCTCTGCCAAAAACTCCTTGGACAATATTCAGTCAGCAGAGACTTTACTAACATGCTAGCGGGCTATTAGGCCATAATGTGCCAGCTGGCTTCAGTACCAGGTCATGACGTGCCAACTGGCTGACATTACAAGTACAGTGAGCCAAGGCACAAGCATTTCTACCACACCACCATCCTTTTCCACCAAAACAACGTTCAAGTCACATGCAGCAGCGCCTTGAGAAAGAGCTCACAAGCTGAACAAGTGGGGATCACCCGAATGAGAGGTGGCTGAGGCAGCAGTGAATGAACCACACGAGGCAATGTTTTGAGTGCAGGGAAGCCTAGTTTCTCTTATAGAATGAGGCAACAGTTTTGTTGAGCCGCATCAGCCTGCAGAGGAATTCAAGCAATGAGAAGGGATCAGGTGGACGTTAAGAGGACACTTAATCAGGAAAAATAACCAAATTACAGCCTTCATGCTCACAAACCACACATCCATATTATCTCCAGAAGGATCCCTTTCAACAGCCACCATCTGCACCACGCCAAGATGCTTGTCCGTTCTCCTGACACTCAAGAGCCTGGAACTTCTCATTTACATGAGTCTGATTACTTCAGAAACGACAACCAAGACACTGAAATGACACCAAGACACTTGCAGACCACAGCAAACCTCTTGCGCATCTAACTTCGTTAACCAGATGTTGTGTAGTGGTCTTTAGGGTAACTGCAGAGCCCATACTCGACATAGCTGAAGCAGTTAACCATCATTAGCTGTTGGTCATCGTTCCCTGACTAGAGGTGACCCGCGAGTTGTACATATTGACGTCAACTACTCGGGACGTAGAGCCTCAATATAAACTAATGAGGCCTTCGTCAGACATGCCGATAACGGGTTGGGCACGCTGAACCTTAGCAAACTCGCAAATCGTCTTTATTTCCGAAGGTTACGAACAAATGGCTGGTAAGCATAATACCTCACACCTTCGCGTGCACAAACAAATCGGTTTGGTAAATTGTTGTCTAAGTTGACCGGAAAAGCAAATGCTAAATCAGAAAAGAACTTACTGGAGGGGCCGTTGTCGCTTCGGGCTTTTGATCGAAAGTGCCCATCGGCTGAGGTTCCGGAAACAAGTCGTCGTCGCCTTGTCTTCGTTGTTGTTTTTTCACAGCGAACACACCCGTGTACCCGACATTGTTGTCTCCGAACTGCCCGAACTGCGGGATAGTACCCTGCAGAGGCGAGAGGGGGAGCAGAATGAAGTGTAAAAGAGCGTTGAATAAACAGCGGTGAAATGTGTGCAGGCGTGCACGATCAACAGAGCTCCAAAAAAGAGGAACATGGTAAATAAAGACTATGTTTGTTTGTGACAAACAAGAAACGTTTAACCGCCGAACTGAGAAGCAGCCACATTGAGAAACGACGAAACAGTTAAATTTTAGGGTTGGCTAACCTTCGCCTGTCGTTCCTCCGCTATGACTGGTTTTCTAATGGGTGGTGCGCTAGAGCCACCGGGAAGGGACTTGGGTGGCGCGAGAAGACCAGGACCACTTGGCTCTGCCATAGGGATTTGACAATAAGGTCTTAACTACTATTTCCTCCTTCCTCCAACGCACTTGTGGCAGATGACTAATAAATTAGTATACTATGGTAGAGCCGTTGTGAATGGGTCTGAGATTGGGTTGGTGGTGAGTGCGTTCGAGATATAACGACGTTAGAAAGGTGTATGTTTAGCAACGTAGGTGACAGCTTCAGTAGCAGCTACGTAAGCGCCTTGAATCACGCTGAGTTACAGAGTTGACTATATAATTACAAAAACGCAGAGATGTTGACTTTGGAAAAGGTCAGTACACATAAGTGTTGGGGGAATGGGATTATGAGGGTCTGGTTTGGCGGGGAAGGGGGAAGAAGGTTGGGGGGGAAACCGTGAGTTGATGCGCCTAGGCCAATGAATTGTGGCATGGAAATACACTGAAGCAGCCTGTGCTGCTGAGCCAGAGGAGGAACTGGCACAGCGAATCCTTCTGAGAGAATGCCGAGGGGGATTAGCGGTGCTCTGTGCGGGTTGCCGAGGCTAGCAGGTTGGGGAAGTGAAAGTGGAAGGGGAGTGGTGGTGGAGTGAGTGCCTGATGTGGGGAGGTCCAATGTAGAGAGGGGCAAGAGGCATGGGTTCGGAAGCCGGGAGGTTCGGCCACGCGCGAAAGGTGGGAAGGTGGACGGGGAGCTCGGACGTTGGGGGAAGGGCTTGCGCGGAGGGCTTGTGGTCGTTGGACGTGCTTGGAAACCATCAAAACCGTTTGTAGTGACATGTTCGCAGTAGATATCCTCGTTACAGATCCGAACATCACCGCCCTAAAAACACCAGCATGAAGTGATCGTAAAATCTGGTACTAGGCCACTATCGCAGTTTGTTCAACCTTATAGGCAAACTTTCTGGCTTAAAGTAACGACATGAACTAGAACTGATGCTTTCACTAAAGCGAACAATACGGTAAATGTTGCAGGCTGTGAATAAAGCGCTATCCAATGAGCAAAAGTACTCAGCAAAAATATCGCCGACATGCCATTGCCACGTGGGCTTCATAAGTCGGACACTGTACAGCTGGCTCTTTGACTCCAGAATCTCGACTCCAGGCCAGGCACAACACACACCAATAACCGAGACTCTTCCATAGCCAACCCACAACCTCAAACCTCTGCTTCGCGTCGCCACGCATTCGTCGCAGCGGACATCCCAACCAGACACAGATTTCACCTGCGACGCCCAGACCAGATTTTCGCACACGCCTCGAACTCGTCGCCCCGAAGTCGCCCACATCGTCTCCTCTCCGAACCTCACACATTCGAACCTTCCAGATGCTTCGAGTACGGCGACTGTGACTACTGTACACACAAGCACACTCTTCCATCGACGTCTGACTGAGCGCACATATGTCACTAGGGCGCTGTACTTTTGGCAAAAAAATGCCTTCGCGGATTCTTCCATCCGCACCAGTGGTGCCTCGGTTCAGGTTGGGCATTGTCCGAAGCTGGGCGCATCAAGAAACCCGAGAAAACCTGCAGAACAGCACTTTTGTGAGACTGTACCAGAACCGCCCGTTTGTTCCACGCCATTTCCTCTCCAGGCAATGGTCCGCACCACTAGTGCGGCCTCTCGAGGTGGAATCACCTCCGCACCACTGGTGCGGGGCAGAAACCATCAGTCAAATTTTTAGCTCGTGGTAGGCTTGAACGCCCAACACTTGACCGCGTTCAAATTTCAAGAAAATATTCTCACGTTCTTGCTGCTCGATACTCTTTCATATGTGACTGATCAAGAAATCCATATCGTTGCCTTTACGAAAATGAGTTACCCTCGGTTCTCATTTCGCCAGACCGTGTCCAAAAGGGCAGACCCGAGTTTGGCTGAGCTGTTAAACGGAACCTTCATGTGTTGCCAAGTCAACCAAAATGGCACCTGAAGTCATTGCGAAATTTACCAAACCACCAACGGTGCGGCGACGAGAACTCCAGCAGAACAGCACCTAGATAGCATCAGTGCGGAGTTTCCAAGGACCAGTCACACTCAAGTGACATCTTAGACAACAGGCCTTAGGAAATCGAGGCGCATAGCATTCAGATGCCTGAATTTCCCTTGCTGCGTCTTTCTAAACTGCACCGTTCAATGTGACACAGCCATTTCTCTTGTTTGGAGCTGCTGGAAACGTTCAGTCTCATGGCTCGCGTCTCCCTCTTCGTGCTCCTGGCCTTAGTCCTAGCCGTGGCCGTCTCCCACGTCCCTACTGCTTCCGCTTTCAACGCTGCAGGGTCAATTCGTCTCGGTCTTTCCAAAATCTTCCTTCCTCACCGCGCTCGTGATGGTCCCTTACCTTCGTCTTCATGCAAGAACATCGAGTGCCCGCCGTACCAGCTACTGCACGAAGAGTCGGACTTCCAGATTCGCCGCTACAGGAGCAGCGTCTGGGCCGAGACGGACCCTATTAACGAAGTGTCTTTCAAGAAGGCGGTTTACGCCGGCTTCCACAGGTACCTAGAAACATTCTTGAATTGGTCATATATTGAGTCGTATTTACTGACTCCCTTATACTGATTTATCTACTGACCTATCTTAAATTTCTTCGTACTTCGTAGTCTTGCCTCCACCTGACTCTTGTCGAAATTCCTGGAACATGGAGTCCCTTTCCTCGTTCCTTATTTCCCCGGGTCACTCCCTTTCCTCCTTCCTTTTTTCAGGCTCTTCCAGTACATTCAGGGTCGCAACGACGATGGCGTCACCATCCCCATGACTGCTCCCGTGCTCACCACCATCAAACCCTCCGGCGGTCCTTTCTGCGCCTCCACCTTTCTCGTCCGCTTCCTCGTTCCCAAGAGCTTCGCCGAGAATCCCCCCAAGCCAGCTTCCTCGCTTAACCTGCACATCAGTCGCGCGCCGTCGCTCTGCGTCGCCGTGCGAACTTTCTCCGGTTTCGCGACGGATTTCAATGTTGCACAGGAGGCGGCGAATCTTGGCGACAGCCTGGCGAGTACCGCG